TTTTTACAGCTTGTGTGAGAGCCAAGTCTTTCCCAAGACTTCTTCAGCCTGGGAGACTGCAGAACGAGATGAAAGATAGTCAAGACTTTCATCTCAAGTACCAAAAGTCAAACATAACCCATTTGTACAAGACATGGATAGTTTTGGCACTGTTTCAGGTCTTCCTACATGTTATCACTGAATCATCTATAAGTTCCAGCTGAAATCACAGATCAGTGCTAGCAGGAAATCAAAATGCGATAGATCTCTCAGTGGAGGTGAAAGACCAAAGCATAAAAGCTTAACACAGACATAAAAGCTAAATGGGGAAAACAAAAGGTAAAGCAAACTTAACAAAAATGCTGATGGGAGGAAAACATCATTAGTATTTCAATAGCAGCACTTCTGCACTTCTGTGAATATTAAATGTGTTCATCATGAGCGATCTGCTGCCACAATAGTCATACTGGAGCTATGAAAATACCACAATAATAATATGAGTAAACCATATGGGAAGCTTGGACCTCTTCAGCATGCAACAGAACATCAGTAGAGAAGGAAAGCGTCAACATTTTACGCTACAGCTACACCCCATGAGTGCCTATGCAAACAGGTAAGTCAGAGCACTAGAGTTATAAACACTGCAATTCTGTTCATTTAATTTGCACATACAGATATTTCAAATCAATTTTGATAACCGATATACATAAACAATAGAAGTTAAAGAAAAAACATGTTCTCACATACTCCCATTTGAAATGGAAAAAATCACATCAATTGGACATGATTAAAAAACTGTTACTCAGCATGTTCAAGCAGGTTTCCCTGTGAAACCTCAAATATTGAGTTTGTTGCGCTCCTGACTGTTTTTGAGGAAATTTTGAGTCCAGTAAATTCACCAGACTGGTAGTAGACTACAAAATACAAAGTCCAGATCTTAACCTTTTGAAATACTGTCAAGGGACATGAAAAATACAAAACCTTCAGGGTGTACTAACATTTTCCTCAACTAGCAAAGACTTTTTTGTTAACTGTCTTATCGGGTAAAAGACAGTTAATATTTGTTGTTTAATTGCAATTAAATCACTTTTTTATCCAGATGAATTTTTTATCGGTTGGACTGCCATTTTTATTTTATTTCTTTTTAAATTACTGCATATTTATCTTTAGTTCTAAAGTGTTTTTGAATCCAATGAGAGAGAACCAGACAAAGAGAAAATGCCTTTAGGAAACCAACACAATAAAGTCATCAGTGATTATGCTCATTTGAGTTTGGAGTAACTATTTTAAAAATATATTAGATTTCACTTTTAATGCTGCTTTCTGCACAGACATATTATATAATCTGTTTTGTCACTTAAATGGGTTTGCTAATGCATTCATTTCTCAGAATTTTATGTCCCATAAAGTCATCTTCAGAGATGCTGCAATACATATATATCTGAGCTTCCACTGATACAGCATGTTTTTGTCCTCCCACTGATGCAGGCCACAAGTGCCCCCTCATACCAGCTCAAAATTATAGCTAATGTCCTTCCACAGATTCTCCCATCCATACTGACGCCCACATATCACATATAGAAAAGTTGTCTCTCATCACCCATAATGTCATATTTCTCAGGAGGAGTAGCAGTAGACGCACACAGTCAGATTTCACTAAATGTTTTTTCCCCGGAGCATCACAGAAACAACACAGACCCTCAGATGGCATACGCTGACAATGATGACACATGCTGACACATACGCCCAGCCTGTGCTACTGCGCGCCTTCCCTAACGATGAAAAAGTGGGTCAAGGGCAATTTTTTTTTACAAGCGCCAAGAGAAAAATAAGATTTCTAATGACTGACAGGCTTGAGCTGCAGAACAGAAAAGAGCCCACAGAAAATAGAGCGAGTATGATCCATAATCCAAAGCAGGAGGAGAAATGTGAAAGTGAAGACATGATAGTTTGGAGGGGATAGAATGAAGCAATAACTTTTTTTTATATATATCTTTGATGAAGAAACAAACATTCTCAGAGAGACTGAAAGAGTCTAAACTGATGAAGTTCTCCAAGTCCACATTTATTTTTAATTTGTTTCATAATTCAACAATTCTATAGGGCCTCATTGCAACACAGAGCTGTGCAAAACAATTTCACAACAATAACTGTAAATGTTGAGCCACTTCCTATGCGTTTTGGCAAGCCTTGTGACTTCACATGTTGTGGTTGCGAATCGCATTGTATTTGAATTATCAATCAGAATGATCAAATGCATGCTAATTAAGTGCTAAAAGCGTCAGCAGCTGAAAACGTTTGTTGTGGAAACGAATCGCATTTCCACAGTATTTTTGCCCTAAAATCATAAAATCATCAGCATGTAATTATTCAGTGTCTTACAAAAGTATTCACACTTTGTGAAGTTATGAATTTCAAGCCACATCGAGATCTCTAGACTACTAGAGTTAAAAAATAATAAAAATAATAATAATCTTAAAAAGCAAACATTATGCTCCAAATGCTACAAAATCGTTTCAAACAAAGATCCCTAAGTGCCGTAGTACACAAAAAGAGAAAACATGGAACACTGATCCTTCCCAGGAGCATGTAACCTACCAAAATTGCTCCAAAAGCTCAGCAAACATTCGTGCAGGAGGTCACAAAAGAACCCACAAGAACATTAAATGCACTGCAGGCACCACTTGCCTCAGTTAATGTCAGTGTTCATGATTTTGTTGACTGATGAGGCAAAAGTGGAATGTTATAGAAGGTTCCTATTACATCTGGCATAAAATTACCACAGGATTTCATAACAAGGACATCATACTGACAAAGTCTAAAGAAAAAACTCTGGAATCTTCCCAAACAGGTCATTCAACCTCAAAACAAATTGTGGGAATAAAAAGGGCCAAAATTCTTCTATAATACTTTGAAAATACTTCTTGTAAGTTATTGAAAATCCTTTATGGCAGATGTTACAAAATATAGTGGTAGAACCAGTTATTTGGTTGTGCAGAGGTTTGGGGGGTTGCTTTTTTTTTTTTTTTACAGCAGACCAGGTTGGTTTGGACAAATCTTTCCCCTTAATAAATAAAATCACAGCTTGAAAACAACATTTTATATTTACTCACTTCATCTATTTGTGATTTTCAAGCTTCTTTGATGGTATGAAACAAAAAAGAAAAACAAAAAGCGAAACCCAGCAGTACTTCTAATAACACTTCAGGGAGGTGAAGATGAGAATGAGGAATAGCAGAGTGGCACTTCAGTTTAAATGCGCTGAAGCAATATTGGCCTCTTCCACAGTGATAGGAAACACTAAAGCAAAGAACGAGGAGGGGCAGTAAGATGGGTTGAATTAGAGATGCTGATGGTCTTCATAAATACCAACTCATCAACCAAGATCCCCTGATTCAGCAGCATTTCCTGCACAAGCTCTAATCAGGTCCATGGAGCTCTGGTCCTCTTTTATGGAGGCCTCCTGTCTATTGTTTCATTAGAAGTGTTTGCTGAGCCGTGTGATGTAGGACAGGGCTTGAGAGAGGCGATTAATAACTCTGAGCATGAAGGAACCGTCTTCAGGGCCAACTATAAAAACTGTGCCACTTTAACACGGAGGGGAGGAGGCAGCAGGAGCAGCAGCAACAAATAAGGACAGTCAGGTTGTTATTTAGTTGCTCTGTGCATTTGTGTTGTGATACCACAATATGTCTGCGGTTTATTTATATCAACAAGCAGTGTTCATAAAAACTAGTCACTAGCCAGGTGTTGTATTTCCTGGGACAAAGTTAAGTCAGAGAAAAAGTGTCCAAACTGCAAGTGGGGCTTTTAAATCTGTAGTTGTGGGGATGAAAACTTGACTTTGCTGAATAATTTGTGTCTATTACTGGAGCCATTACTAAGACAGTAGTTTAGATCCAAATGCCATACATAATATTGTCATTTTATAGAAACTTTAAACTAATTACAACATAATTTGTTTTTCAGCTTTTCAAGCTTTTGCACACTTGGTCTCATGAACTCCAGAGTAATTGATTGGGATTGAATGTGACAGACGAGCACAAAGCAGGGTATAATTGTCAAATGGAAAGATTAGACATTGTTTTGTATGGATTTGTATTCAGAACTCCATGAGACAATTCATTATAGAACCACCAGTTAAGCCAATTAAGGATATATGTCTATCAGATTTGCTTATCTGGGGCTGAGATTGTTGCCCATTGTTTTTGCAGTATGGCTCAAGCTCGTCAAATTTGATAGAGAGCATATGTTTAACTGATTTTCAAGTCTTCCCAGTTTTTCAGCTAGATTCAAGTCTAGACTTTAACTGGACTCCTGAGTGCTCCTGAATGTTAAACCTCTGTCTCAATTCTTTTGCTGATTCCAAATAAGTTTTCCTTCCAGGATTTTCACTTTATTTAGCTCCATCCCATAAACTTTGACCAGTTTCCATGTTTCTGCATGATGCTGCCAAAAGGTTCAATTTTTTCTCATCAGACCACAGCAGTATTTTCATATACAAGCAGAGTTCTTGTGTTCGCTCCTCTCTTACAGGCTAGATTTGTGGTGGACAGACTTGTCTTACCTGAGCTGTGGATTTCTGCCACAATCTGGAAATCTTGGTGGCTACTCTGATTAATTCACTCCTTGCCCGGCCTGTCAGTTCAGTTGGAGCTCCAAGTCTTGGAAGATTTGCAGTGGTGCTATACTCTTTCTATTTTCAGATGATGGATTGAACAGAGCTCTGCGAGATGTACGGATATTGTTCTATAACCTAACCTTTCACAGCTTTCTTTTCACTTATTAGGTAACTTTAGAGAGCAACTTATTACACTGTATTTTATTTATAGTTTCCAAACGAAGAAAGGCTAGTGCTAATGTCCATCAAGCATCATACTTGTTTGTAAAAAGAAACCAAACAAGAAGCTTCAGACTTTGGGGGTTATATGTGACAAAATGTGAGTATTTCTGATGGTCACTCTATAAACTGAATTCAACCGCTCTAAAAACTAAGACAGAAAACAAGATTAGACTCCCACCTTTATTGAAAATAGTCGTCCTGGGAGTGACGTCCAGGTCCAGAGAGGGGCTGAAGGGAAATGCCCACAGCTGAGACAGCCTGTTGGGATGCATCAGCATCAGCAGCAGGAGCAGGAAGGGCTGATTTGATTTCTGGTCCCTCATGTTTAACACACTGATCCAGGTCCAATGCAGCACTCAATTTGTTGGATCCAAAAAATGTGAATGTCTGCAAAGTGTGTATCTTCTTATTCCAGCCTCAGACACACGCTTTCATTATCCTCCAGTCAGTCTGTCTGTGCAGGGATAGAAAAGATGAATATGAATACTTAAATTGTAAATTCATGTAGCATCGTTAATTAGTTTTATTGAGGTGGAACTATAGAGCATTTAGGAAATAAATTATCATTTGCTGAGCAAAGACTTTACCATCTAAGGGAAAATGCTGAGATGCATTCATTAATAACCCTAAAACATGTATTCGTTTATTTTTCAAGCATCATTACTTAATTAAAATGTGAAATATTGTAGTGCATTTAAGAGTGCATACACTTAAAATTGAAAATATACATATAAAACCCATAAAATGGATCTTAAAGAGCTGACACTTATTTTTAAACATTGCCTTGTCTTGCTTTTGTCAACTTTCTCAGTTAAAAAAGTAAGTTTCAATGTGTATGTGTATGAATACTTCACACAATACAGCAATGTGTATGAATACTTCACACAATACAGACTCAACACTTTAAACCATCTTTCATTTCTTTGCATGTTGTTCCTAAGCAGCAAAGACTTTCCTGTGACCTTTTCAAGGTTTTTTCCAAGTGTTTCATTCACTTTCAGTCCAGTACTATTACCTGACCATGGAAACATATTGTGACATACATACTTAAAACAATAGGACAATAAACAAGTGGGTGATAAAAAGGAAGTGTCACAGTGTGTAGAGATTTACAAGTTTTAAAGGTTATTAATTTATGTACAGAAGCAGTAAGAAAGGTGTACATTCATCAATATTAATGTTAAATTCATTTGAGACTTTTAATGAGTCAATTTCAATGAGCTTTGAAAAGCAGAATTTCTGCCAGAATCTTTAATTTTATTAGGATTGTCTCTCCTTTAGCACTTGTTACTTGTAAAAAGGAAAACAGAAAACTTGTATAATTTGGACTTGATGTTGAATTTAATTATCACTTTTTTTTTATCTTTGTTTCATCAACAATGCAATGTGAAATCTCTGTGATATGGATAACTGTAAACTTATGGTTAGGCTAATATAATTTTCAAACTTCTCACATGTACATACAAACATAAATATTGACAAGAGTGCAGTTTCTTTAGGCAAATTGGGAAAGTCAAGTATGTGAGAAACAGGTAAAAATAAAAGACAGAGCTGATACATGAGCTGAGATATACATAATCCCTACTGTGGTGAGTCCTAAGCTAATAGTCTGTGAGAATCACCTTATTGGTGCTAAAATATATTTTTTGTCAAACTGTGCTGTCTTTGGTATTTTTAGTAAATTGAAATAAAAAATATGCTTACATTTTTTCTTTCTGACTACAGCAACATCCCAATGGACACAACAAAAAAATGTTCTGTGCACAAAATAATTCATATTTTACTGTCAAGTTGCTTCACAAACAGAAAATTGAACATTCATCTGGAAAATTATCAGATACTGGACTGAAAATGGATGAAAAGCAGGAAAAGGCGCACAACAACTTTCAAGCACAGCAAAAAAAAAAACTAGATCAAGACTTTAAAAGGTCACAGAAAAGCCTGACTTCTTGAAAGAAAAGAAGAAAAAAAATTTTAAATGATTGAATACTTGCTCACAGTACCGACTGCCATAAAACCAAGCTGGAAGAAGCTGAAAACATATCTGAAAGCTATAATTATGTACTTTGTTTATTGTGTTGCAGTTTTGTAAAAACCGACAGGAATTCCAACCTGTAGAATTAAATTGAATGAAAAAATATTATGCATTAACATTATTTCCTAAGTAAATACCCAAAAGTGCTGTCATTGTTCAAAACTAGTCGATAATCAAATAATACTCTCCTGGAAATGTGATGCTGCAAATGTTGCAAAACAAAACTTCCTCTTTCAATTAGCTGTGTTCGCGGTGGAGCAGCATGACGGTTAATCTGACGATTAGGCCACGAGCCATCAGCAAAATCACCGCCTGGCTGGATGCTCTCTGCTTCTGATCAAAGGGTCAACCATGTGAATCTTGTTCTGCCCAGGAGTGACACTGGCAACTCCCCAGATCAGTCTATCATGGCCCCTGCCGTGCTGCTAATCACACACAGCCTGGAGTACAATGAGGCTGGTGACATTTCTGTTAGCAGCCTGGGTGCTAAGCTCTGAGACTAACAGGGGCAAGGACATTCGACAGATGAGCAAGTGACGGGTGCTGATGAAAAGGATCAATGCACCAAGGGTTTAACTAAACTCAGTGAGCTGTGACAAATTCAAGAAAAATGTGACTATGCAAAGTGTTTAAGTCATGACATGTCTCCAGAGGAATGTCAGTACACCTTGATCCTCAATCTCCAAATTGTATGCAATTTGTATGCAATTTTGGTGCATACAGCATCAGGGAAATGCTTCCAAAAGGGTTGCTAATGGTTAGTTTAAATACTGACAGGGCCACTTTCTGGGAAGGCTACCTAAATGTTGCACACTGTAGAGGCTGCATGTTTCTGAAGGATACAGAATTTCTAACTTCTAGAAAACTGTCAGAGATCATTCCCTAAAGATTTCTTGAGGGTTACTTTTAACTGAACTGTGCAAAAGTTATCAAACATTCCCTAAAAGTACCACAGCAGAGTACACATTTTGTAAGCTTCAGGGAATGTTACTTAAATGTCTTCTTAAGGTTACAGATTGTCTGACTTTTAGAAAAAACTTCAGGGAACATTTTGTTCTAAAAGGTTTTTAAAATCTTGTATTAACATTGACAATGCGAAGTGTAGGAAATATTAAGGAAATAGGTCTCATAGTCTTCACAGATCACAGCAAAATGTTCCCTAAAGGTTCCCCAAAAATTTATTCGTTCAGTGCACACATCTGGTAATTGGCAAGAAGTGCTCTATAAAGATTCTCTATACATTATTTACAACTTGTACAATGTAACCTTCAGAGAACCTTCACAAGACACAACAATACCGAAAGGAAGATTTTATCAAACTGAGGATAGTTTGGTTTTACACACCGTTCATATCTAGAAAGAGACTGAATTAAAATATTTAGCTATCAGTTTATCACACAGATACTGGATTTTGTGGGAGAATTCGAGCAGGAAAATGTTACTTTACTACATTACTACACTAGACACGGAAAGCTTTTAGCAGCAGCATATTTTTCCTAGTAGAGGACTCGGGGTAAATGGGAAATTGCTGTGCGATATGAGAGGAATGAGGGAATGTTTGGGAGATAGTTGCTCAATCTTAATGCAAAGTTTGTTGAACCCTTTGTTGGACAGAAAAACAGTCCTAGTAAAACATCTATGCCGCATCCATCAAACGAAAATTGGTTCAATGTTGGGTGAAGATTTCATAACAACCATACATTTGCTGAATTTTTTTATTTTATTTTCATTTTTCCATCTGGAAGCTGCTAGATCTGACATTTCTGACATCTTCTATTTGCACGAGCTCATGTTATCTAATTTTACACATCTAGCTTTCTTTGAATCTTAAAATGGCTGCTTCAAATTCAACCGGAAATATTTTTCTTTTATCTCCTTCATACACCTCATTGTATGGCCAAAAACTTTTTCACACACGTGCATTACAGCTCTTCGAGACCTGTAAATACACTTCGAAATGTAAAAGTCTTGCATCCCTTTGACATTGCATGCAAAATGAAACCAATGTGACTTTGGTTTGATGACGAGGCCAAACCAGAGTCAGGGAAACCTGTGGTAACCAAACACTGATAGCAAGCTGTTTTCTTGTGGTTTTTCCCATCAGCTGCTCCAGTACACAACAAAATACACCAATTTCTCAACACTTCTGCAAGGGTATTGTGTGTTCTGTTGGCAGAGCGCCTGACAGCAGTGTGTTGCATGATAACCCCACGAGGTAAAATGCAAACACATCTGCCTTGATGGAAATCACGCAAACAATGTGACACGTACGGCGGCAGGCAAGAGTAATCAAACAAAAGCAGCGCAGGTTGGCTCGAATGCATTTTACGCAGTTTCTTCCTGTTTGCTAATATGCAGAGCTGAACAGATCTACAGGGACACTTTGACCTAATTTCATTGATAGTTGGTCCCTTCTGTTTTTTTTCCAGCAAATGCTCTAAAATAAATGGTCTTCAGAGCAAGAGGAGTTGACGAGGCTTTGGTGAAACCTCACTTCAAAAGCCACAGCAAGACGTTCTTCAGAACACCTGACGTTCCCGTTGGAGATCAACAAAACAAGGGAGCTTATCTTGCAGAAATGAAAAGCTCACCTGCAGACATTTGTGCTTTCATTTAGTTATGTAGTGTGCAGTGTTGTAAATCCCACAAATGTGATTGCTTGCACTATGACAGCAGAAAAAGCGGGTTCACTCTTTGGGCCACCAGCACTGTATTAAAGATTTAAACATAAACAGCTTGCTTTGCACAACTCAGTAACAAATAACATTATTTAAAGTTATTTTAGGAATTATATTAAAAAAGTGCAATTTCTCAGAAAATTACAACAGTATATGCATAGAATAAATTAAAATTGTGTGAGCCAACTGAAAAGTGTGTCCATGCACTTAATACATGGGATCATTTTGCTTGAATTACTGCATCAATGCAGCATACACACACAATAAGTGCTAAAATGCTCATGAAGCTCAAGTTGTTTTGGTATGTTTGTTAAATTGAAAAACCCAGTTCCTCATGAATCCTGAGTTTTAACTGATCATTCAAATCTGATGACAAATCTTTCTCAGCAGTAAAAATGAATGACCTTTTTCCTCTTGCATCAACAATATTGTAATCAATATTTTTGGTTGTTATTGTTGGTTATTGTTAAAATCTATTATTAGTATAAATATGTGACACTTTTTAGAGCTTACAGAAACTCTAAACAAATGTTTCGACATGAGTCAGCACAAGTCAGTCTCTTATATATAAGGATTTAAAATTTACAAGCTCCTACTTGCTATATTCAGGGTCATTGTCCTTCTGGAAGGTGGAACTGTCCCTCAGTTTTAACCCTCTTGTAGCTTCTAGTAGATTTCTTTCCAGGGCCTACCTAAAATCAACGCCATCATTTTCCTCATGAGCTCTGACAAACTAAAGAAAAACATCACCACATCACCACTCCATTCCATGTTTTCTGACTGGAATGGAGGGTGTGAGGTGATTTGCTTTATTTTGACTTTATTTTGAGGGTTTCAGAGAAAAAGAAGCTGAACAAAACATGTCATGATTTTTATTAGCCATAAAAATAGCTACTAACTGTATCCCACTTCACACTTGTGCGTTAGTCTATATTTTGGTCATTCACACATAATAGGTACAGACCTTTATAGTTGTAACTTTAGAGCATTTTTAAACTAATGCAAGAGGTTGCTTTGTGCTGTTTAAAATAGAAGTTCAACGTATGTCTGCTGTTTTCTGCATACATTTACCAAAGATTTGTTTGTATATAACTATAAATATATATATATATATATATATATATATATATATATATATATATATATATATATATTATATATATATATATATATATATATATATATATATATATATATATATATATATATATATATATATATATATATATATATATATATCAGGTTGGGGCTGCATTAGAGTAGAAGCAGTAGTAAACATTAATTTACCTGTATTGGGGTTTTTTGCGCCACCTTTGACTGAACTTGGCAGTAGTTTTTATTTTTATTTATTTATTTTTTTGTCTGTTTGTTTGTTTGACCGTCCAATCGCCTCGTTGTAACAAATCTGCTCCTAGATAATAACCGCCACATCTCGTTTGGAGCCACTCCGCTCCTGTCCGATCTGAACTGCGGCGCCAAGAGAGAAGAGACGGGGCGCCGCGCACAGTTCATTCACCTTCACCTGAGCGAGCCGATGTAACAGAGATGTCATGAAACTACCGCATGCAGCTCAATGAGACGCTGAAGTCGGACACAGGGACGCAGTTCGGATCCACTCACCTGCCTTTGGTCCTTGTTTCGGTCTCAAACAGACAGAGTCCTGATTTGTCCTCTTTGCGGTGAAACATCGAACTGCTGCTGCTGCTGCTGCAGTCATCAACTGCTCAAATATTACCACATGCTCTCTCTCTCTCCCCCTCTCTCCGTTTAACACACACGCACTCTCACGCGCACACGCATACACACTCTGAAACTCACACAAACAGCTCTATTCACTTGTTATAAGTGGCGGGTTTTGATATGGGCAGTTGCCCAGGGCATGTATTAAAATGAGGGCGTATACCAACAGCAGAATAGTAATAATAAAAATCTTATCAGTTATGTAACTTATCCGTTATATGTGCAGTCTATGGGGAGTTGGTGCCTCTTGCTTGCTAAGGAGAATAGGGAATTTATTTCACATGTTCTGATGAGACTGGATTTCTGCGCTGAACTTTTACACGCTTTCACAGTCAAAACAATCAAATGTTTGCTAAATCTAAATAGCATATAGTTAGGCTTCCAGTCCCTTTGCCGACACTCATCTATTTCTTACATTCTGAACTTTTTTCACATTTATTCCACGAAACATTGCTATATTTCATTGGGATTTTATGTGACACACAAGTGCATAAGATAATATGGAAGGAGAGTGATCAGAAGTATTAAAATGAAAAGAAAAAAAAGGAAAGTGCATTTGTTTTTAGCCCCTGTTACACTGATACCTTAAATAAAGAAGTAGTCCTTTCTCACTCAAAATTCCAACTTTTGGGAAACTCTATGTTCATTGTCTCAAGCTCATTCTTGTAAAATTCAACCATTCTTCTGTGTACCTTAAAAAGCAATAGTTAATTAGATAATTTCTGCCAAAAGTCATACTGTGCAGAAATATGTACAATCTGGTCTGGACCTCACAGATAATTTATGGAGCGTTATCAAGAAGAAGATCAGAGACACCAGAGCCAACAATTCAGACAGACTTAAGGAAGACAAACTGGGCTTAATGAACACCTCAGCAGAACCACAGGCCCCTCTACACTGATGTAATTATTAAGTACTGAGTGCATACACTCAGCAGTGCTTGAACTTGCTTTTCAACAGGTCGATTGAAAACCCCTATTTACTAGTTTTACACAATATCCTTATTTTCTTCTTTTATTTTTATTAATGTTAACTGTAAGTGGTAATTATCAAATTTATCAGAAAAAAAACAAAACACTTGAAATATTTTACTCGGTTCTCCATATACATGTGTTTGGAGATGAAATACCGAATACAGTACTTACTTTATTGTTTTTATTTATTTTATTTTTACTTTTTATTTATTTTTTGTGGTTGGGTTGTTTTTTTTTTTATTGAGTTGTTCCTCCAAATAAAGACAAGGCTTGTGAAACAGCACCATCTTGAGAATTTTTGACGTATTACATATAATAGTTTTTTAATGCATTGTTGTTATAATTAGTGCTTGCCTGCTGGGGGCGCTGCAGATCCCTTCTGTTCTTCACGAACGCTTGGGAAACCCCTTAGTAATCCACTACAGTCGTCACTGGCGTGAGTAACCCACCCATCTGAGCGAGTAGTCATGACGTGGACGGTCTGGTTCTGAGAAGAAACAGCTGCTTTCACCGGTATCGATACGAACTCAGTGTGTTCGGTCTGGATACCTGACAGCCTCTTTAGTCGGTACGCAACACGTATTTTCTCATTTGTTATCGTTGGCGGTGGTTGTGTTTACTTCCAGATAAGCTTCCTGGGTGAGGTTAACTAGGTAGCTAATGCTAGCGGCTACTAATACAACTAGCTAGTGCTATCGATTAGCACTGATTAGCGACAGCCTGACGGAACGAGTCAATTGTTACTAACTTTTGATTTGATGTGGTGGTTTCAGTTTTAATCAGTTTGGTATGAGAAGAACAGTGGAGTTAGTTAGTGAGCCAGACAACTTGTTACTGTGGTAATGTGTAGCTTGTCGAGAACAAAAGTGTTATAAGTGAATCTGGTTTCCTCTTTCAGTGTCGGCGTTATTTTAGGCTGCCTATAATACTTTGTTTATTTAAAATGTGTTTTCTTGCCTAATAATCTAGCAGTGAACACAAAGTCAATTGTGGTAATGTTACGAAGAAAATCAAGTGTGTTAATAAAGCAGAGATATAGCGTTAAACAATATCTAGATGGCATAAAAAGTAAAAAAAATTATAAATCGGAACGTGTCACTTTTTATAAAACTTTAAAATACCACGTACTGACAACACTACAGGTGCAGTCCTGAAAGGTTTGCTTTTCCTTGTATGTTATTTAAAGTTTCCAACAGTATTAGTTTTATGTTGTAAATTTCCATTTACTGACAGTCTAATTTTTATTGTTTTTTTTTCACCTCAGTTTGAATATTCATGCTTCAATTTGCATTGCTATTGTTTCCCACAGTGGGATCAGAAGAGATATTTCTGTTCTATTAAAGATCTGCGGTTGCTGCCAGTCTTTACTTAGCAGTCCAAGAGTTATCGATTTTTTTAATGGAGCTGGTATAATTTAGTTCAGATGCCAAACAAGCATTAAAATAAAACCAAAACTATGAAAATTGGATGCCAGTTTTGCCAGATTTGCTCTTGTTTTCATGGTTTGAGAAATCAGGATTTAGACCCGAATACGCTTTAGGCAGTTATATACAGCTCAATATTATTTTTACGATTTGTATTCATAAAACTTCAGAGCTTCCTGAAAGCAGAAAATGTGAGTTTGGAAAGTGCAACATTACTTCTCGATTTTGTTTCTTTTTTTCCCACATTACAAATTAAATACTTCTTGTTGAAGAATGCAGTTGAAGACGCAATCTGATTTTCTCTGTACTCCCAGATGTTCCCTAACTAAAAAGAAAAAAAAATGTTTATGGTGGAATTTGAAACATACACAGTTTTTTTTTAAATCCCACAAAACAATACTACAGCTAATTTAGCTTTGTGTTTATTTGGAGTGATGACATCATAAATCATGCCGATTAGCTATGCAACACAAGTAACCGCTTGTGAAGGAGGAATTTGATTATCAGTCCTCCTCAGGCGTATTTCCCATCCAAAAATTTGCCTGTCCAATATATTCATCAAACCTTCAGTAAATCCTTCTGTCCCTCCTTACAGTCTGGGCATTTAAAAAAAAATGCAGATATTTAAAGCCTGAGTTCAGATATTGGCTGTAAGTTGTAATTTGAAAAAGTTTGATGTTTTGAAATGTGGAGAACCTGGAGTTCAGAGATCAGGTCTCATCAGCTCCTGCTTCTTGGTATTCAGAGTGAGTAGCAGGTGTATCTTTGCAGTCAAAATAAAGAAAAAACATCTCTTCTTTGTTGTATTTCAGTGCGATGTTTGTAGATGTTGTCTTGTTTTGTGGTTTTTCTGTAGACTGATTTGACACGATACGGCCATGTTTTAGATGCGATACAACCCAGCCGAGATCTGATAGGGGGAGCTTCTTTGTTCCTCTTTCAAAGTGTGTTATCTCACTATGATCTGAATCTAATGTTTTAGGGCCGTGCTTCAACATCATTTCGTTGTTTACCCAGTCAGAGTACGCCACATCGCACATTGAAACATGGTTGCTTTCAGTCGTCGGCCTCTTGCTTTCAGAGAAGGAAAATGGTGACAGAAGTTGAGATGTAGACCTTAACCTTTGCAGTAGCTGTTACTTTTTTATTGTGTTAAACGTTCATAGTTCAGTGTTAAATATGAGGCTGGAGAGCAAGTTAATGCAGCAAAAATTTCTTGTCCGGCAACAGTCATCTGATTTCACTTTTAATTCTTCACTGGAAAGTGGGGCAGCTTTTTATAGAGCCTGTGGTTCAAATATGAATTCAAGTGAAACACAGCGTGACGTGGATCTGCCTGGTGAGAAAGGAAAAGTTGTTCACAGCTAAACAAACTTTAATGAGTACTTGCAATCCCATTGCTTTTCCAACAGCGTTCCTGTAGTCTGGGTTTCTTGGCAAGACAGAGCCAGTAATATTATTGTTCATTTTATGAGTTTAGATGTTGCTGCTCTGAGGGACTTTGCAGTTTTTGTTTTTTGAGCGTTTGTATGTAGTGATATGAGATTACAAAGGGGAATGAATAGATATCACTTTATTTTTATACTTTTGAAACCTATAGGAAACCATTAACATTTTGTTTCACTTCACATGAACATGCTCCTGTTAGTGTGTTTACAGACCAAAAATGATGGGATATGTTTTGTTTGTTTAATTAATGCATTATTTAAAAAAAAACAATTTAGATATTATTTTATTGTTTTTCCTGCAATTACAAAACTGCAACACACAAAAAAAATCTTAAACGTATTCCCTTCACACAGGATATTTTTCTTTTTTTTTTTTTTTTTTTTTTTGTCAGGATGTGTTTCTGTGAACGTGGGTCATCCAGGCAATGATGGTCACAGCTTACCTCAGAGAAAGGACCTGAGAGAAAAGCATGGGCAGGAGCGTCTGGGGCTTCTGGCAGACTGTCTTCTCCACTGCAGTGCTCTATGGCTCACTGGCCCTTTTTACGTCCATTCTCCACAATGTGTTCCTGCTTTATTACGTGGAGACGTTTGTGTCCATTTACAAGATCGATAAAATCTCCTTCTGGGTGGGAGAGGTGAGTCAATGGAAAAACCAGAGTCTGTTTGTGATTGAAAGTGACGTTGACAGGAAATTGTTCAATTCAGGTTTTTTTTTTGTTTTTTTTATGTTGCACCAGTACATAACAACTGTTGTCACAAAGAACTTTACCGAAGAAAAGTTAATTCAATGCAATTATACAGAAACATTCAAAGTCAAGCGCACGGATTCAACTATAGATTTATTCTTCTTATCGACTTATGTAGTAAAGTTCAGTTTATTATACAAATTGCTTAAAAGGTTTTCTCTCTGAGGATCTAAGGTTGTTTTGATCTGATGTCCATTTACTTTATGTCTTATTATCTTCTTGTTATTCTGCTCCACAGACTGTATTCCTTATCTGGAACAGTCTGAATGACCCTCTCTTCGGCTGGCTGAGTGACCGCGCCTTCCTCAGCTCTCCTCAGTAAGCCTCTGCATCTCTTTTTAAACATTCTTCTCCCCCTTTACCTTCC